TTGCATACCTTCACTTTGGTACCTGATACATTGTAGCATACCTTCACTGGTATCTGGTACAGTGTAGCATACCTTCACACTGGTACATGATACTGTGTAGCATACCTTTATTCTGGTATCTGGTACAGTTTAGCATACCTTCACTCTGGTACCTGGTACATTGCAGTATACCTTCACTCTGATATCTGGTACAATGTAGCATACCTTCATTCTTGTACCTGGTACAGTGTAGCATACCTTCACTCTGGTATCTGGTACAGTGTAGTATACCTTCACTCTGGTATCTGGTACAGTGTAGCATACCTCCACTCTGGTATCTGGTACATTGTATCATATCTTCCCTTGGGTCCCTGGTACATGTAGTATACCTTCACTCTGGTACCTGGTACAGTATAGGATACCTTCACTCTGGTACCTGGTAGTGTAACATACCTTCACTCTTGCACCTGATACAGTGTAGCATACCTTCACTCTCTTACCTGGTACAGTGTAGCATACCTTCACTCTCTTACCTGATACAATGTAGCATACCTTCTATCTCTTACCTGGTACAATGTAGCATACCTTCACACTCTTACATGGTACAATGCAGCATACCTTCACTCTGGCATCTGGTACAGTGTAGCATGCTTTCACTGGTACCTGGTACAGTGTAATGTACCTTCAGTCTGGTACCTGGTACAGTGTAGCTTATGTTCACTATTCAATTCAAAGTTTATTCTCTATAAAGATTACAATGTTGAATTTACAGAATTTGGTTGTTGTGTGGTTTACATGTAGTTAAATAATGATTACAGAGTGTACCACTAGAACGCCTAGCATGGCTAGGCATTTCGGGCAGACTTAGTTTAATTCTTTATTTTAAAATATTACAAATTATGAGGTAAGTTGGTATTATGGCTAAGTGACTAAATACTAGTTTGTGAGTTTAGCAATGTGAATGCTTTTGTTTTGGCACAGTACATAGTTACAGTATTGGAGTATCAAAGGATTCATTATTTTAAGATTGGGATTAATATTTCTGTTTATGGTCAAATGGGTGAGTGAGTGTAAGTGTGAACCACCAGGTGGTATTCGTGTAGTTAGTTGATGGGGTTTATCAGGGAGATAAGATGTTTTCTAATGGTAGTTTTGAAGGTGATGAATGTGTCTGCAGTTCTAGAGTTCTCAGGTAGGGTGTTCCAGATTTTAGGGCCTTTGACATACATTAAATTTTTTTGTAAAGGTTTAGTCGGACATGGGGAATGTCGTAGAGATGTTTGTGTCTGGTGTTATGCCTGTGGGTTCTGTCACAACTATCAAGAAAGCGTTTTAGGTCAAGGTTGATATTGGAGTTTAAGGTCCTGTAGATGTAGATTGCACAGTAGTAAGTGTGGATGTACTGAACAGGGAGTAAGTTTAGATCTATGAAGAGTGGGGGGGGGGTGTTGCCAGGGATGGGATTTAGTGATTATTCTTACTGCAGCTTTTTGTTGGGTTATTATTGGCTTTAGGTGTGTTGCTGCAGTTGATCCCCAAGCACAAATAGCATAGGTGAGGTATGGATAAATAAGTGAGTGGTATAGTGTGAGAAGGGCATTTTGCGGCGCGTAGTATCGTATCTTGGAGAGGATCCCAACTGTTTTGGATACTTTTTTGGTTATGTGTTGGATATGGGTGCTGAAATTCAGGTTGTTGTCAAGGTATAGGCCTAGGAATTTGGCCTCATTATGTCTGGTAATTAGAGTGTTGTCGATCTTAATGTTAATTTGTGCATCTCCTGCTCTGCTACCAAACATAACATAGTAGGTTTTGTCAGTGTTAAGCGTAAGTTTATTGGCTGTCATCCAAGTCGATATTTTGATCAGCTCCTCGTTAACAATGGTGTTGAGGGTGGCAAGATTAGGGTGAGAGATGACATAAGTCGTGTCGTCAGCAAAGAGAATGGGTTTCAGGTGTTGGGATACGTTTGGAAGATCATTGATGTATATGAGGAAGAGCAGGGGACCAAGGACACTTCCCTGCGGAACTCCAGTATCAAGTGGCCGTGTTGTTGATGCTGTGTCTTTAATGGTAACATACTGATACCTATTAGTAAGGTAAGATTTGAAATAAGCAAGCGCATGGCCTCTTATACCGTAATGGTCAAGTTTGTGGAGTAGGATGTCGTGGTCTACTGTGTCAAAAGCTTTTCTTAGGTCAATAAAAATTCCTAGTGGATATTCCTTATTTTCCAGTGCTGTGTAAAGCAGATCTAGCATTTTTATGATTGCATCATTAGTGCTTTTATTTTTCCTAAATCCAAATTGGCAGGGGTTGAGTATGTTTTGTGCTGTTATAAATGAATATAGTCTCCTGTGCACGAGTTTCTCAAAGATTTTGGATAGCAATGGTAAGTTTGATATTGGCCTATAGTTGTTTAAGTCTGTAGGGTCACCACCTTTATGTATTGGTGTAACCCTTGCCATCTTGAGTAGTTTCGGGAAGGTGCTAGTTTCTAGTGACTTGTTAAAAAGTAATGAAATAGCATGCGAAAGGATATGGGCCGCTCGCTTGTACAGTAATGGTGGGACATTAGACAGATTCCCTGAGTTGGTTTTAAGTGACTTTATAATCTCAGTGACTTCCGAGGGCTCAGTTGGTGCAAGATAGAAGGAATTTGGTATCTGGTACAGTGTAGCATACCTTCACTCTGGTCCTGGGTAGTGTAGCATACCTTCACTGTGGTATCTGGTACAGTGTAGCATACCTTCACTCTGGTACCTGGTACATTGTAGCATACCTTCACTTTGGTATCTGGTACAGTGTAGCTTACCTTCACTCTGGTACCTGGTACAGTGTAGCATACCTTCTTTATGGTATCTGGTACAGTGTAGCATACCTTCAGTCTGGTATCTGGTAGTGTAGCATACCTTCAGTCTGGTGTCTGGTAGTGTAGCATACCTTCACTCTGGTACCTGGTACATTGTAGCATACCTTCACTCTGGTATCTGGTACAGAGTTACATACCTTCACTTTGGTACCTTATACATTGTAGCATACCTTCACTGGTATCTGGTACAGTGTAGCACACCTTCACACTGGTACCTGATACAGTGTAGCACACCTTTATTCTGGTATCTGGTACAGTGTAGCATACCTTCACACTGGTACCTGATACTGTGTAGCATACCTTTATTCTGGTATCTGGTACAGTTTAGCATACCTTCACTCTGGTACCTGGTACATTGTAGTATACCTTCACTCTGATATCTGGTACAGTGTAGCATACCTTCATTCTTGTACCTGGTACAGTGTAGCATACCTTCACTCTGGTATCTGGTACAGTGTAGTATACCTTCACTCTGGTATCTCGTACAGTTTAGCATACCTTCACTCTGGTATCTGGTACATCATATCATATCTTCCCTTGGGTCCCTGGTACATGTTGCATACCTTCACTCTGGTACCTGGTACATGTAGCATACCTTCACTCTGGTACCTGGTACAGTATAGGATACCTTCACTCTGGTACCTTGTAGTGTAACATACCTTCACTCTGGTAGCTGGTACAGTGTAGCATACTTTCACTCTTGTACCTTGTACAGTGTAGCATACCTTCACTCTCTTACCTGATACAATGTAGCATACCTTCTATCTCTTACCTGGTACAATGTAGCATACCTTCACACTCTTACATGGTACAATGCAGCATACCTTCACTTTGGCATCTGGTACAGTGTAGCATGCTTTCACTGGTACCTGGTACAGTGTAATGTACCTTCAGTCTGGTACCTGGTACAGTGTAGCTTATGTTCACTATGGTATCTGGTACAGTTTAGCATACCTTCACTCTGTTGCCTGGTACAGTGTAGTTTACCTTCACTCTGGTATCTCATACAGTTTAGCATACCTTCACTCTGGTACCTGGTACAGTGTAGCATACCTTCTCTGCAAATATAAACACATATGCAGTATAATGTGATCCTTTATTGACAACGTTTCGCCCACACAGTGGGCTTTTTCAGGTCACAAACAGATCTACCTGGGGTGGAAGATACAAGAGTATTTATAGTCAGGTTGAGAATGCTGAGTAAGGTGGAGATTGCTGCTGCATCTTATGATCTACCGATAGATAGCTTGGAAGAGAGAGATTGGATAAGTGTATGAGTAGACATTCTGCAGTGTTCCTCCATTCCTATGTTCTTTTGTGGGGTACCGATGAAGAAGTTTCTTGGCAAGTGGTTCAGCTATGTTATAGAAGCCATTGTTCTGGTTGAAGTTGTTGGTTATAGAGATAAGCCATGATTCCAGGATTCTTCGGTATTGAGTGTTATCTTCTCTGGCGATAAGTCTTGAGTTTCTGTAGTTGATTAAATGGTTGTGTGAATTGCGGTGTTGTACACAGGCATTCCTTGTATCGTCAGACCTGCTTGCGTATTGGTGTTCTGAAATACATGTTTATTTATTTCCATACTTTCTCACTGGTATCTGGTACAGTGTAGCATACCTTCACTTTGCTACATGGTGCAGTGCAGCATACCTTCACTCTGGTACCTAGTACAGTGTAGCATACCTTTACTCTGGCATCTGGTACAGTGTAGCATACCTTCACTCTGGTATCTGGTACAGTGTAGCATGCTTTCACTCTTGTGCCTGGTACAGTGTAGCATGCTTTCACTCTGGTACCTGGTACAGTGTAGCATACATTCACTCTGGTACCTGGTACAGCATACCTTCACTCTGAAGACTGGTGCTTACATCCTGGCATCAGGTGAGGGGATGTGTAGCAGAGGAAGATGATCTTGAAACCTGTGCCTCAGATTCTTCTCAACTACAGTGCTCTTGACCAAGGCTGATGGACTGATTACCTCATGTTTTGTATATAAACCTACAGTCTTCCCTTCATGACCTTGATTTTGTATTGATAAAACCACTGGATGGTGAAACATCTACAATAAAGAAACCCAGATATTGCACTTGTCTAATTCTTCATCTTGTTGGTGCTGTGTATCATTCATGTAAAACATTTCTTGTTGCAGGTACCTCATGGGCGGTAGAACGTTTTCCTGCCTTGATGCCGTCATCAACAGATACAAAACGGAACAAATTTTAGAGGGTCATACATTAGGTAGCCCTGTTTGTAAGGTAAGGCACCTATTGTTTTGCTCCTGCTGGTCTACTGCACATGCTTCCTCAGTCCTCTTTGATCCTGAGTCCTTACACACAGTCCTTGGTCCTTTCACACAGTCCTTGCAAGGAATAGGCAGGAGGAGTAAGTTGGGGTTAATAGGACTGACAACAGTTTTAAGAGATAAGGTTTTAAGACACAAAGACAGTACAATCTGAGAAGCAAGCATTAGGTACACTTGTAGTATAAGGTAGTACACAACTGGGCGAAAGAAACACTCTTTAACACACACTAGTATTATAATTATTAGAATTACTCTCAGTATTAATGGTATTTTATTAGTAGTATTATGGATACATAGAGGTGAGGTGTATTTCTGGGATACATAAACAACTCGCATGCTCACGCACATGCACGTGCACACACACACACACACACACACACACACACACACACACACACACACACACACACACACCACACACACACACACACACACACACACACACTCAGGGCCAGGAGCTGAGACTCGACCTCTGAAACCACAACTAGGTGAGTATACACACACACCCACTCATTCACACAGCTGACCCTTGGAATTTGACCACATTCCCCCACCCCCCTCTCCCCCTCTCCCACCCTCCTGTTTAGCCTTCTCTTCCCCCTCCCTCTTTCTATCTTTCTCTCTCCCCCTCCCTTGCATTTCTCTCATAGCCTTTTCCCTCACCCTCCTCTCTCCCTCTCTCTCTCTATCTCTCTCTCTCTACCCATTCTCTCTCCCTCTCATTTCTCTCTCTCCCCCCCTAGTCTTATCCCTCACCCCAATCCTCCCTCCTCTCTCCCTCTTTCTACCCTTTCACTCTCCCCCTCTTACTGTCTCTCCCTCCTCTAGCCTTCCCTCTCTTATTTTATCTCTCTCTCCTCTAGCCTTGTCCGTCCTCCCCACACACACACACATCCTGAAAACACACAAACTTCTCTCTGTGGTAAAATACATAGCTTCTTTCTGTGGTAATAAAAAAAAATGGGTGGCCCTAGAGGGCGGAAAACCAGAGATCTGGTGGACGAACCAGGGAGGAAAGATTGGGAGTTAGAGCTCCAAAAAAGGGAGGAAGAGTGGGGAAGGAAGACGGAAGAGCAAGATAATGGAGGAGCGGATAGCTGAAGAGTGCAGGAAGTGGGAGCTACAAGTCTTAGCAGCAGAAACTAGGATACAGTGCTTAGAAGAGAAACTGAAAAACCTAAAACAGATTAGAGAGACAAATGACAATTCAGATGCAACAACAGGAAATTGTATGTCAGGCACAGACAAGTGGACGGTAAGAAACAAAGGAGATATGCCGTATGCGAATGCCCTATCAGACCCACGTGGGGCCAGGGAAAAGACGAGGAGCATACTAAGATCAAATGACAGGTCCGAAGACAATGAAGGTATGTTATATGCAGAGACTAACAGCCAACTGCAGTAGCAAGGAACAGCTGATCATGAAAGACAGTTTCCTGAGAATAGAAGTTTCAGATAGGACAGGGACTGAAGGCAAGAATATTTCAATGGAAGTAAATAAAACACCTTGGGGGGATGCAAATGGAGACTCAGTGGGAGGAGGAAAGGGAGAGAAGCCAAGGGGGACAACTTCGAAGAAATAAAACAGGAGGAGGAAAAAATGATTGAAGGCATCATGAAAACAATAGGTGAGGGCGATACAACCCAGGTGACAAATTTTCGGAGAATTGGGTGGTTTGCAAGTGGAAGGATACGGCCTGTCAAAGTAATTTTCAAGGAAGAATCAGTTCGAACCAGGATTCTGCAAGAGAAAGCACAACTGAGGGACAAACGGGTACCAAAGAGTATACCTCGATCGCGACAGAACACAAGTAGAAAGGACTACACTGAAAGAGAGGGTACAGAGACGCAAGGAGGAACGAGAGGCAATGATGAAGATGAGCAGGACCCAGACACAGGAGGAAGGGCAAACACACCCCGCAGAATCTTCCACCGAAAGACTCCAACCGTGACAATCCCAACGCAACCGAGCAACCCAAACCACAACCCACTTGCTGTTCCCCCTTCCAGCAACACCCACATCACAAACCTCACCCCAGCAGCTGTCCCTTATGGGCATTCTGACCCCACCCCTGTCATCACAAACCCCATCCACACCACAACCCCCCATAGGCCCCCACCAAGGCTCTTGCTCCCCCAACCCCAATATTCTTGCAGGACCACAGTGATAGAAAAGAAGCTGAAAGTTTGGTACGCAAACGCGGACGGAATAACGAATAAACATGAGTGGCACGAAAGAATCAGTGAGAAATTCCCAGACATCATAGCAGTCACAGAAACAAAACTCGCTGAGACAATAACAGACGCAATCTTCCCACCGGGATATCAGATTCTGAGAAAAGAATCTGATATCCCGGTGGATTCTGGAGTTTTATGATAAAGTAACAGAAGTAAGACACGAGAGAGAGGGGTGGGTTGATTGCATCTTCTTGGACTGCAAGAAGGCCTTTGACACAGTTCCTCACAAGAGATTAGTGCAGAAGCTAGTGGATCAGGCGCATATAACAGGAAGGGCACTGCAATAGATCAGAGAATACCTGACAGGGAGGCAACAGCGAGTCATGGTATGTAATGATGTATCACAGTGGGCACCTGTGATGAGTGGGGTCCCACAGGGGTGGGTCCTAGGACCAGTGCTATTTTTGGTATATGTGAACGACATGATGGAAGGTTTACTCAGAAGTGTCCCTGTTTGCAGACGATGTGAAGTTAATGAGGAGAATTAAATCAGATGAGGACCGGGCAGGACTTCAAAGAGACCTGGACAGACTGGACACCTGGTCCAGCAACTGGCTTTTCGAATTTAATCCCACCAAATGCAAAGTCTTGAAGATAGGGGAAGGGCACAGAAGACTGCAGACAGAGTATAGGCTAGGTGGCCAAAGACTGCAAACCTCGCTCAAGGAGAAAGATCTTGGAGTGAGTATAACACCGAGCATGTCTCTGGAAGCACACATCAACCAGGTAACTGCTGCAGCATATGGGCGCCTGGCAAACCTGAGAACATCGTTCCGATACCTTAATAAGGAATCGTTCAAGACACTGTACACCGTGTACGTTAGACCCATACTGGAGTATGCAGCACCTGTTTGGAACCTGCACTTGATCAAGCACGTCAAGAAACTAGAGAAAGTGCAAAGGTTTGCGACAAGGTTAATTCCAGAGCTAAGGGGAATGTCCTGTGAAGAAAGGTTAAGGGAAATCGGCCTGACGACACTAGAGGACAGGAGGGTCAGGGGAGACATGATAACGACATATAAAATACTGCGCGGAATAGACAAGGTGGACAGAGACAGGATGTTTCAGGGAGGGGACACAGAAACAAGAGGTCACAATTGGAAGTTGAAGACACAGATGAGCCGGAGAGATATTAGAAAGTATTTCTTCAGTCATAGAGTTGTCAGGTGGTGGAATAGCCTAAAAAGGGATGTAGTGGAGGCAGGAACCATACATAGTTTTAAGACGAGGTTTGATAAAGCTCATGGAGTGGGGAGAGAGAGGGCCCAATAGCAACCGGTGAAGAGGTGGGGCTAGGAGCTAAGACTCGACCCCTGCAACCACAAATAGGTGAGTACAAATAGGTGAGTACTGTCCTTGGTCGTTATGCACAGTCCCTGGTCCTTACACACTGTCCCTGGTCCTTACACACAGTCCCTGGTCCTTACAGTCCTTGGTCCTTACACACAGTCCTCTTGGTCCTTACAGTCCTTAGTCATTACACACAGTCCTTGGTCCTTACACACAGTTCTTGGTCCTTACACACAGTTCTTGGTCCTTACACACAGTTCCTGGTCCTTACAGTCCTTGGTCCTTACACACAGTCCTTGGTCCTTACACACAGTCCTTGGTCTTTCACACAGTCCTTGGTCCTTTCACACAATCCTTAGTCCTTACACACAGTCCTTGGTCCTTACACACAGTTCCTGTTCTTTACACACAGTCCTTGGTCCTTACACACAGTCCTTGGTCCTCACAGTCCTTGGTCCTTACAGTCCTTGGTCCTTGCACACAGTCTTTGATCCTTATATTCCTTGGTTCTTACACACAGTCCTTTGTCCTTTCACACAGTCTTTAGTCCTTACACACAGTCCTTGGTCCTTACACACAGTTCCTGTTCGTTACACACAGTCCTTGGTCCTTACAGTCCTTGGTCCTTGCACGCAGTCCTTGATCCTTACACACAGTTCATGGTCCTTACACACAGTCCTTGGTTCTTGTGGTACTTTGTCCTAGCGTACTAGTACTCAGGTTGTGATACTGTGTCCTAGCGTACTAGTACACAGGTTGTGGCACTGTTTCCTAGCATACTAGTACACAGGTTGTGGCACTGTTTCCTACCGTACTAGTACACAAGTTGTGGTACTGTGCCCTAAAATAAATTTACATTTTATTTGTTGATAAAGATTACAATGTGTAGTTACAATTTTGGTTTGTTAAGTACAAAGAAAGCCACTATCATGCCGGAGCATTACGGGGAGACTAATCCTAGTACAGGTCTCCCTCATCATTCGTGTTTTCAACTTTCGCGGGCTTCACACATTCGTGAATTCCCAACTGCCAAATTCCCAGCCTCCAAATTCCCAGCCGCCAAATCATATTTAAGTTTCCTACCACCTGCGAGTCCCTACTACCCTCCCTCCGACCCCCGCAACTGGCAGCCAGCCCTCCCACCAGTGTGGTGAGTGTTTTGTTTGTTCATTATTTGATATTGAACTACAGTATAAATAATGTAAACCCATTCATAACTGCATATTGGAATGGCCATTCAGACAGGTATTGGATGGTGACATCATGTGTTTACTCTTGAACACAGCAAAGAATCAAATATTTCTGCTACTGCTAATAATAACAATAGCAATAATAATAATAATAATAGTAATAATAATAATAATAATAAATATGATAGAATTGAAGAAGGAAATTGTACAAAAATACGAGGGAGTGGTTGACACA